CGGATTTTGCTTGAGCTCGGTTCAACTGGAAGAGCTTAGAGAGACGCCTTTGGGGAAAAGCGTGAAACTATTTTTTTTTCACTTTCCCCCTTGCCACGCTCACATATGGAGTAATACACGCACACAAAAGAGGTTACCCCAGCAGGTTCCGATGCGACTTTTCTTTTTTTCCTCCCCTCGTTTCTTTTGATTTTCAGGAATTTGTTATTCCGGCTGCTTCAGCCGGAAGGCCAAAATCGAATAGTCTGAAACCATAACTTGTCCTCTTTTGGACTTGAGAGAGCCGTTGCGCTGCGGCTTTCTAGAAGCTATATAGACTCGAGCTGTCTGCTTAGAACCTGTGCGTGGATCCATCAATATGGAGGAGACAGTCCATGGACCATACATCCTTCGTTCGTCCTCCCACCGGAGATTCCGTCTTGTGGGTATGGGACCGCGCTGCGAGAGGCCGTCGGACCGGCGACCTCCTCCCACAGTGCTTCCGGCAACGGATCTTCGCTGCTGTCAGGATACAGATTGGAAATTTCTCCCCTCTGCTCTGCTGGACGATCCTGGCGTCGCAGACTCAGCCCTCCGTGATCGCAGGAAGCACGGCAAGTAACATCAGGAAATGCCCAGAGGGACTAGGGGCGAGAAACAATTCTTGTTCAAGCTTCTCTGCTCCCCTGCACCAAGAAACAGCCTTGTCAAGACACTCTGTTCACTTTGTTTTTGTTGGAGAACCTCTGATTTGATGAATTGCATGGCTGGCGGTGAAGCATGCGGAGCAACAAGAGCGGTTTCTGCACGCTAGCGAGTTCAGCAGGGTGAAAAGCTGCTGGTTCACAAATCTCTTTCCACGTCGTATCCCCCATGGTGAACTGGATGTAGAATAGTCGTACTGAGACCTGACCACATCATCAGTGCAAGAGAGAGAAGGCAGGAAGAATGAAGCAGAGCGCGCGCAGTTGTCCCCATGTCTCACACACGCCGCCAGAGGGCATGCTAGCGCCCACTCGCAGGCGTGATACCGCCACCCGACGGCTGCTCAACACACACGCACGCGCTCTCAGGCTTCCCGCGCGGGTTCCATCAAAGGGATAATATTAACCACTCTTATGTTGATCCTCCTCGCTTTCTCGTGGCACACCTGTTTAGTTAACTTCTCCCTGGCCCCATAATTCTTAACTAAGAATAAAGAGCCTGCGCCAAAATTCGCGCTATTGGCCTGCCCGGAGAATGTGCCTTCGTCTCATTGTTGCTGCTGCTGCTGCTCTTCACCACCGCTCGACGACTCACTGCACTCCCACCACATCCTCTCTCCTCTCTCCCTCTCTCGCCCACCACCCAATAACTCCCTTCTCTCTCTTCACTAATCACGGCTTCTGTTGCCTTTTTACAAATCATTTCTTGACAGGTCTTCTTTCTTCTTGTTCACTGCTCATTGATTGTCAATAACCCGCTCTGTCCGCCTCCCGACCCCCATCAACCTCTTTTACTTCTTCCCTTCCCCTCCCCCCTTCAGCACAACACACACAAACAGCTGGATATCTGCTCTCCCCCCGACTTCTCGATCCAGAGGGGGCTTCAACACGTCCGACCAAGGTTTCCCCCCGCCGATTATGGCAGCTGGAACGGACGTCTTGAACCAGAGTCTCTGCTATCCCGTTCCCACCATGCCATCTCCCACCCTCAATACAACAAAGTCCGCGAACGCTAATCATAATGATAATCCCCTGCACTCCTCGTCCTCGCTCTCGCCCTCTCTATCCTCATCCGACGGTGAACATGAGCGGAAAACAAGAGCCGATCGCCCTCGTCTGGCGCGAAAACAAAGCGCTTCCATCCTCGTACCCCGTGATCACCCGGAGATTGAGATTGAGAAGGAAGAGTTTCCGCCTGATGATGCTCGTGCCATGAGCCCTCGCCGCAATTCGGCTGATTTGGAAAGACTTGGGAGAGAAGCGAGAGAGGCGCTCAAACAGTGAGTTGAAGCACCACTACACGATCTTCTTCTTCTTCTTCTTTCGCTAACCGTTTTGCGACACGGCGCAGACAAGCAAAGACCCTGCAATCCTCGTTGCGGGCTCTGGCCGAACGGATCGACGAAGTCAAGTCGGATCATGACAGGCTTGAAAGCGAAAATAGGTTCCTACAGGATTACATTGGCGGTCTAACTCGCACAATGTCGGCAAGGGCTGAATTAACCTCGACGACCGGTCACACAAAAGGAAGAAAGCACCACAAATAGTGCGCTCCAAGGCAACAGGTTGCCAGACTTGATCGGACCTGTTGCTCCTCTACAGGCCGGACGATATTTTCCTTCATGGACTACACTTTCCGGCCTTGATCTCCCATGAATATAGCGGTCCATAGTGATAGGAGAGGACTTTGAAGCCAGGGTTGATCACTTTCTTTTCTTGAACACGTATGACGTGAACAAGCGTTATGACCTTCCGGTCGCATTTAGCGAAACTCCTTTACACGAATTCCCTCTCAGCGTATACGCCACTTAATCTCCTAATTCCTGAAGCCATTGGGCCTCACGAAACACTTTTTTTTTTATATACCGATCAGTCCTTGATGATACCCGAACGTTTTCGATTGCTATTCGTCGCCAGGTATTTTTTCCAGTGGAGGCACTACGGTTCTTGTTATTGGACCCCCGTTGCCCTGATGACCTCACTATAGAACTACGATCACTTGGATCTCACAGCCTCATGGGGGCGACGCTTCCCAATCCAGTTCGGCATCCCGTAACAATGTTGCTGTTACCTGTCGCCTATCCGTAGTGGCCTGTGTTTTGCCTCGTCACTGGAGTTCCCATCGGGGAGGCAAGCAGTGGACTGCGGGTATTTCCACAGTCCCTTTGCCACGTCATATCTCAACGACTTTCGAAAATCCGTGTCTCATGTGACGACGCGCTCCTCACCGTCGCCACCGTCCAGTGGAAACGCTTTTACTCCTCAAATCCGACATTGATAGATGGCCGCTTCTCTTCCTTGCATGTTTCCTTTTCTTTTTCTCTAGGTCCGATACTTGCGGCGTCAGGTGCTTCGTTGTGTTTTGACCATTTTCCAGCAAACTCGGGTGCATTTTTTTCCGCCAGGCTTACCTCTTACGGGTGTATCCATGCGCTAAACCCCATGGGATGGTTTATCATATGACCGACGGGACTGTGTTATGATTTGCCTTCGACAGCGGAGTGGCGTGTGTTTGGCAGAGGAATTATACCGGGATGTCTTTGTGCAAAATGGGATGGTGGCATTTTGTGCTTGGCTATTCATGATCTCCTTTTTCTTTTTTGCTTCCCATTCGATTCGTGTGTGTTGTGTTGAAGCCTGGGCGCCAGTTTACGAACTTCATTCAGACGCTGCTTAACTCTGAGTGCGTGTACGCGCCGGCTCTCCGCCGGTTCTCAGTGGACAAGCTATCGCTGGAGATAAGTACTCTGTCTTGCCCTCCCCTCTACGCCGGAATCCATACTACATTCCCATGTACCATGTTGACTTGACATCGCCCCTTTTCCGCTTTTGTCATTACTACCAGCTTTTCCCGAATCTTTCTTGATTCGTGGGGTAGGCGGTTCTAACAATATTCCCTCGCCCCATGTTTCTCGCAAAGATCCGGGTTCTCTCTGGACATTAAGCGCTGGAGTTTTTCCCCTCACTGGTTTGATGGCTTATTTTTTATTTCTCAGTGATTTTAACTCAATTTTACCCTGGCGACGACCATCCTTTTGCGGATTTATGCTTTCGGGGTGATACCATGCCACCTTCAAAACAAAAATTGCCTTGGATTCTCTTTTGCCTGATACTCAGATATGTTTTATAGCAGTGCTCTTTTGACTTTCCTGGCTGTTCTTTTTGACTCTTGGTTGCGGGCTTCCATATGGATTCTTCTTTGCCAACATTACAAATCACTATTAGCAAGGTATATCTATTAGAAAGCGAAAGCGCAATGCATTTTTCCTTGGGATTCCAGAGTAGCCTATGTACCCCGTCCTGCCTGATATTGGCTTCAAGAAATCGCGTCAGCTGACGCAAAGTGACATCGTTTGGCACAGCGTCCTTCCTTTTCGATGTCGGGGGAATACCAAATTAACCTCACCAAGGAACGGGTCAGCAGCGATCTGGTGAAGAAGCGATTGGTTGTGCTAGAAGATTCGGTTCTACCTTTCGGAAGAAATGCAAACTACGTCATCGCATCTCTCAAAAAATCACCGCAAAAAATGAGGTCTTTTTTTTCTTTTTTGCTGCGAGAAAAACCGTTTGCTTGTCCGAATGTTTATTTTTGCCCAGGCGATTTTCGAAGCTGTAGCCCCGGAGTTATTCTTCCTTTGCGTTGTTTTTTTTTTTTCCCATTTTCTTCTTTCCTTGGTAAGTAAAGTAGGCTGTGTTGGGAGATGGGGAGAGGGGTGTGTGTGCCCCCTTGATCGAATCCTGGAGAGGCTGAAACTCCATCGCTGTTGGCGCCTAAAATTGGGGGGAAAGTGAGCTGAGAGAGCCAAGAAGGACCGGGAGGAAAGGGGCAAGGTTGGAGGCTCACACAGCCCTGTTCCGGTTTGATCAGGAGGCCCCGGCGGGCATTGCCAAAACAGGCAAAAGTGACGTCAAGCAGGAAACCGAAAAAAAACATACAGTGGATTTATTTGTTTGTTTGTTTATTTGGGAGCTTTTCCAGAATGGGAAGGGGGGGGAAGGGAAGAAAAGGTCATGTGTCTGAGAACTAGATTTTCCCCAAGGGAAAAGGTGCGAAACGACAGGTAGTTTTTTTACGGTGGCCTGTGGAAAACAGAAGAATGACGAGAAAAGCAAAGGAGATATGGAACTGGTATTAGTTGATCGTACTCCATACACTGGGGAGGAAACCAAATTCGCCCACGTGCATTGCTTAGCAACTTGGTATTCGGCGGATAAGCTAAGAAAAGGCGAATGCAATATCAGTTGATGCCACTTCCGCCATAAGCAATGGACATCGCGAGCTACGACGGGAGTGCTGGAGAAGTGAAGAGTTTATGGCGTAATATCCTCTAATGATTGACCACCCTTTTACACGTGGTTAGGAATCGTCAGGAAACTAAAAGTTTTAACTTGCTCTTCCCTTCCACTGATGTCCATGCAAATGAAGCGTGGATTGACAATTTGACATAACAAATTAGAGACGGTGGAAAATAGAAAAAAAAAAAAAAAAAAGGGGAAAATGGTAAATTCTGCCTTGCAGAGCCCCGAGTGCGGTCCCTTGAGATAGAAATGGGGTCTCGTGCCTTTTCTTCGCCTTCTACTCCGTAATGATATGCAGTTCCCTTTTTATGGTGGCATGTTTCCCCCGGTGTCAAGCCCAACATCTTATACTGAGAACACTGGAAATCAGTAGAGATGCGATGACATATATCAATTGCACGTAGTTATCCCCAGCGTCTTGTATGCTCGAAGCCACTGAGTGACGGACACATGCCAAACGATTTCGCAAGAATAGCACAAAAGGCCGGGGCAACAATGACGCCTCCGGCTAGGTATGAGTGTGAACTTGAGTTTCTACCACTGTCAAACTAATTTTGTCTTTTTTGTGAGGACGTGTCCTAATGACAATCACCAAATATCCCATCGGACTCCATCAGCTGCGAATAAACTTTCTTGAGAAACGACCGGGAAAAGCACGGGAGTAAAACAGTTCAAGCAAATAAAGTCATAAACAGAACCAGTGCTCCCTGTATACCGTCCGATCTAGAAAAAACCCTCCATCCTTACATTTACTCAGCAACCTTGGGCTCTTCAGCGGGGGCGCTCTCTTTGGGTTGCTCAGCCGGAGCAGTGGGTGCAGCAGCGGATTCGGGCGCTGGCTCAGCCTCAGATGAAGTCCAGAGAGTCTGGAAACGTACGGGTTAGTATGATATCAACACAATTTTCGATGGGGACAACCCACCAAGTTGTCTCTGAGAAGCTGCATGATCAGAGTGGAATCCTTGTAGCTCTCCTCACTCAAGGTATCAAGCTCTGGGAGAAGGGTTAGCTAGGGCCGCACTGTAGCGCCATGGTCAGGATCACATACCAGCAATAGCGTCATCGAAAGCCTGCTTGGCAAGATGGCATGCCTGGTCGGGGGAATTGAGGATTTCGTAGTAGAAAACAGAGAAATTGAGGGCAAGACCCAAGCGGATGGGGTGAGTTGGGGCCAAATCGGTCTGGGCGACCTCAGTGGCATTCTTGTAGGCCTCAAGGGAGTTATCAGCCGACTGCTTGCGGCGGTCACCCAAAGCGAATTCAGCGAGATAACGGTGATAATCTCCCTTCCTATTGGGGTGAGTAGATATTAGCATACGCTCGAAAGAATATTCCTACGCCTAGCGCGAGGGAAGTCTTACATCTTGTGATAGAAAACTTTCGATTCACCGCTTTGGGCAGATGGAATCAAATGCTTATCGAGAACCTCCAAAATATCCTCGCAGATTTCTGCGAGCTCAGACTCAATCTTCTGACGATATTCTTTAATGAGATGAACTTGTGCTTCATTTCCTTTTGACTCTTCCTTTTGCTCGATGGAAGTGACAATTCTCCAAGAGGCACGACGAGCGCCAATCACGTTCTTGTAGGCAACTGATAGCAGATTGCGCTCCTCGACTGAAAGCTCCTTATCGGCAGAAGCAACAACCTTCATATTTTGGACCATTTCTATCCCACTACGTCAATATTCCTGGGAAACGACATCGCAGAGGGAGCTTTTGCACGGACCTTCGTAACGCTCAGCCTGCTCGGCGAGCTTGGCGAGGTACACCGCATCTTCAATACCCATGATGAATCGAGTTTACTAAGTAAAATAGAGTCAGTTTGCAAGAATTTGAGACGCGTTGTGATGGGTTACTGCATCAACTGTGGTAGGTGTCGACCGCAGGGCGCCAAGGAGGGGTAACGGGAGAGAAGGGAGGATACAGGAAAACAGAAGCATAACACAAGGAAAAGCTGCTATGTAGAGCGCGAAGATGGCAGTGTATTGGAAAGACTAGGCCGCTTGACAACCTGGTATTTGTTGATGTGCTTTGCTATGTGCAGGTATCCCAGTTCTTGGAGCATATGACGGCTTATTGAGATCGCACAATGAGCATAGGAGATCAAGGATGTGGCAGAAAAAAAATAGAAATTCTGACAAAAAAAGGCACGCGATTCAAAGAAGAGAACCCCTTAGCATCAAAAACTGAGGGCCAGAAGCACGGAGGTAGCGATACGGGACTCTTGGGGGGGAGGGTTACCCCGTCCTGGGAACCGCGCAGGACCACAGGAAACTGGCTTACCTAGGAAATAAGCAACGACAGGAGGTAGATCGAGTTGGCTAAGATGGTGGATAAGAGGGTCAGGGTGTGCAAGTCAGCGCAAGGAGGCGGGTGGGCGGTGGTTGATGATGAAGAAGAGCAATGGAAGATGGTGGAATCAGTTGAGGTTTTGTTGGAGGAGGTTGACAGTAGGAATACGCAAAGGGGAGGTGGAGATGTTTGGGTGCTGGGCTGCTTTGGGTTTAGCCGCCCAGCCTGCTCAGTCAGCATTGGTCGCTTACATACTCACTCCGCTGCTCCGCCAATCAGAAGCGCTGCTGTTGGCGTTGAGCGCCTAAAAGTGGTTTGTGACTTTTCTTGGATGTAAATGAGGTAATGAAGCCCATGGCAGTTTCCTGGTTCCTGCTTCCACTTCGAACCGCAGCATGGCTGGGAAATGTCCCCCGGAATTTGGAGTAAGGTGAAGCTGACTTTGTGGTTACACTGTCACCTTTATTCAATATGGGCGCCCTTTGCCCGTTCTTGAAACCGGAGGCAGTAAGAAGTTGTTCCAGCGTAGCCGGCCCCCTTCAGCGTCAAAGCACAACTATTGAGTTTATCCAAATAGTGTCAAAAGGCCGTACGACCGGGCATATCCGCCGGGGCTGGGACTATTGATTGTCGAGAACTGTACGGGGTACGGAGTACATGGCTCCAAAGTAGGCTGCAATATTTGAAGCCTCTCTACGGAGCAGTAAAGTGCTACAACAACACCACAATAATCAAACGTTGAAGCCGTTCTAAACTTTGCTGGGATATCAGTGTCATTTCTCTGTGTCTATGACTTCCAAGAAGTCAAAAGGCTCGGAGAGTCACATGATATGCTGTTCAAGCCTACAAATGCCGCTAAACCCATTCGGTCCAAGCTCCGTTCTGCCAACCGCTTCCAAGCAAAGCTCGCCTCATGGAAGCCGAAACGTCAGTCCAAACAGCAGCCCTTGACCTTCAATCACCACACTCGCCAACAAGGTAAGAAGCCCGCTCTTCCATTACACCTCTCCCATGCGTCTAGAAATACCAGAATTATTGGATTATTTGGCTAACAGTGCGAACCCATGCAGTCGCCTCTTAATAAACAACGCTTCTACTTTGTAGACCCCTCACAACAATGCTTCGCTCCTCCATCTTGAGACTCACCCGGACCAGCCGGCTACCTGTTTCCAGATCCTTCTCAGTCGTCGCTGCAAGAATGGGCGAAGGTGACACCGGTGCAATTCGACCAGGCGGTGTTCAGTCTGGGTTCGTACCTGCGCCTCGAGATACATACAAACAATTGAAAAGCTAATAGTTTTGGGAAATTCACAGCGATGCTTGGACAAAGAAGGAAGCTGCCCAAGAGAACATCTTTATTAAGCAAAAGGAGCTGGAAAAGTATGTTCAGATCGTTTGTTACAATACTGCAGTATACCACATTACCCTGCAGAGGGTGCCAAAATAAAGCAGTATTAGCTAATAGGTGTTTAATAGGCTTCGTTCCCTTAAAGAGAAGTTGAAGCAGCAGCGCCAGCACCTTGATGACCTTGACGCCCACATGTATGTTTTCCCTTGTAGATTTTCTATGGGTTGCGACATCATTTCTCCCTTCGGCTGGTTGGAAATTTACTAATTAATCCGTCTCGACAACAGTGATGAGCTCACCCGTGGCCAAGGTGGTGAGCAACATTAAGTTAAACTAGCTTGCAAGGCAATGAATTTGCAGAGATTTCAAGCTATGTTGTTGAACTGGACCAATTTAACTGGCTCTTCTCTCTACTCTTAGCCTCTGATAGCTTTATGATCTCGATTACAAGTTAAGAAAAGGAACAAAAGCCCATTTCTTGCTGGTGTGATGTGTATATAGCCCTGTGCATGTTGTTTCAATAAAGCAAAAGAGAAGTGTAGCATATTCAAACGGCCGTTGGATATTCTCTCTGTTTGCGTAATGCAAACTAATTTACCATTCATCCATACTCCAATTTCAGTTACATCACACTTATCCTTGCTTCCACATGTAGCTTCGTTAAGAATCAACCTACGATTGTCTATGGGACCCCAAGCTCATCTTCTTTTCCCAAACATACAGAGACTCAAGAGAATCCAAGCCAGGCGAATACAGTTTCATTATGACAATTCACATTCCTTTGGACGCCAAGAAATAAGAAAGCAAGGATAAAAAAAAAATTATAGAGAACCGTAAAGGCTAAACACTTTTCCAAGCTCTAGCGTCGACCCATGTAAGCGCGATAGAAGTCTTCAGCAGCACCTCCACTGACACTTCCGGGGGTTCCGTTTCGATAAGCACCATATTGACTTTGACTAAGGGAGCTGCCTGCTCTCTGGTTTGCCTGTATTTTTGCACGTAAAGCCGCGGTTCCTTGATCGATGAGTTGGAGTTGGGAGAGATGCGAGTTGAGGATGCGGACTATCTGGGAGATCTAGACACAAATCATGTAAGTTTCCCAATTTGCATCGTGCTAAAAGCAAAAAGGAAAAAAGTGACAAGTGACAATACATACCGGTTCGTCCGCCTTGGAGGTCTTGCTCAAGTTCGTGGATGCAGAGTTGACTTCCTCAATCATGCTGGTAAGATCTTGCCCCATGTCGTTGAGGCGCTCCGAGAGACGCTCAGCAAGCTTGTAACTAGTTTGTATTAGTATCAGGGGGGCAGCTAACCATTGAAGGTTCGACTGTTAACTTACGTCCTTTCACGCTCCTGATCTGGTCCTTGCAGCGAATCTCCAGCACCAACTTGTTTAGAGAGCAGTGATTCGACTTCCTGCTCATATCTGTCAAGCCAAGAGCTCAATTCGTCCTGCTGTCCCTCAACGGCGGCCAATTGCCGTTCAACTTCCTGGGTAGCTCTCTCTGCATCGACCGTATTTCCATACAGCTTTTGAACCTTGCTGCCATTCTCCACCAGCATGCGGTCCCACTCTGCCACTTGCTCGGCTTGTTCTTGAAACTCCTTTTGATACTTTGTCAAGTCTGTCGCCCAGCGTGTGATAATTTCATCCATAGTTTTATTTTTTAAGCGAGACTGCGCTGGGGGGGGAGGGCCGACTGTGGAGGCTCCAAGCGCTGCAGTGCCAGCGGCCGAAGTTGCGGGTGCAGTTGTACTTGGAGCACTGGTTGTGGGAGCAGTTGTCGTTGTTGTGGTGGGTGCGGTAACAGCCGGCGCAGAAGTGGTAGCTGGAGTTCCTAGCGATGGAGCAGCAGATGTAGTCCCAGGCGGCTTCGTAAGGGAGAATATAGACATAGCCGGGGCTTGGGTGGTCGTTGCAGCCGTCGAAGCATCACTTGGAGCAGATGTTTTTGTAGCACCCCCTCCGCCGAATAAACCTCCAGTGGCGGGAGCAGTTGTAGCGGGCGCATGTTGCGTTGCTGTTGTGGGCGGAAAGCTAAAGGTACTCTGCGCAGGCTTTTCTGCTGTAGTCGAGGATGTCTGAGTGGTGGTGGGCGTTGATGCGGGAGAATTCATTAGCAAGGTCGGCTTCCCTTCCTCCTTGCCCGGTTTTGCTCCAGCCTGTCCAACGCCGCTGAGATTTCCAAACAGGGCGTTCGAGCCAAATGCTGGGGCAGTGCCACTTGTACCGGCTCCAGCAAACATCCCCCCGCCTATGGTGATCGCTGGTTTTGTGGATTCCGGCTGGGACATCGTAGCAGGTTTGCTTCCAAACAGAGTAGGGCCTCCCGCGGCATTTTGTGCAGTCTGGGTAAAGAGCGAGCCAGATTGTCCTGAAGTTGCGGCTGGCGGAGGTCCGGCTGGCGTTGTGGACGGGTTCCCAAACATTCCTCCGCTTGCGGGTGCGGGAGTGGCACTACCAAAGAGCATGGATCCTGGTTTTCCGACCTCACCAAAAAGATTCCCAGGCTTCTGCTGACCTGATTCTGCAGGTTTATTAGGAGTAATTCCGAAGGATGGAATTGACGGGTTATTTTGTTCGGCTGGCTTCAAGGAAAATGCTGAGGAAGCGGCTGGGGGCGTTTGTCCGAACAAAGGGGTACCGGCCCCTCCTCCAAAACTAGGCTGTTGGCTTGCTGACGGTGTCTGGCCTGAGCCTATGTTGCCAAAAAGCCCACCCGCACCAGCGGCGCTTGAGGTATTTTGCCCGAAAATTGAGGATGTTGGTGTGGTCGACGCGCCGCCACCGGTTGAGGTGCCGAATTGAAACGGATGCGCCATGACTCAGAGGTGACTATACAAACAAGCGATGGTTCAATGAGCAAATGCCTTCGACGGGGTTGAGATCGGGGCATAACCTGACTTACCTCCCAACGCGTTGTGGAAAGATAATGGAGTTCAAGTGAGTGTTGCCTTATGAAAAACACACAGCGCTCATAGTCTGAGGAAAGCTCCGCGATTGAAGGATGTAGCCGCGCCTCCAAAATCCTGGTGCTGGCACAAAGGAGATTCCCCTGTGTCGTTGTTGAGAGACCTGTCGCGCTCCTTCAGTGGGCGGGTCAGCAGGTCAACAGGCAGAAGGTCACCGGGCAATTGTACTGGGAGATACTGGTAATATCTGGGTAGGAGTTAATTGAGAACCCATAAGAAAGCATCAGATCTGAGCTCACTGAATTCTTAACATCAGATTATTATTTGATATCATCAAACAGCTCTATCATTCATTACTAATCATTGACTAGCTAGTTAACTAGTTAGTTAACTAGTTACTGCAGACTTGGCACAGTTCTGATATAAAATTTTACAAAAAATCCAACAAGCTTTTATCTCAGTAATTGGATAACTACAAAACAGCAATGTCATACAAGTTACAAACAGACAATTCGTCAAACTGAAACCATAATAAAACCACAGTCATATTTGCCTTCACCACCAAGGCATTCATTATAAAAGCAAGAAGGAAAGATGATGCTAGTGACTAAATGTACAACTGACTCCCACTCTGCTCATGCTATCAAACCAGGCCCAATATCAACTCGGGGAGACCTCCACGCGACAGCAATACCATTGCTGGACGAATGAGGAACTCAATTCCCTTGTCTACACTTGTGCCCGCTGCTGGTCCTATGCTCAAATCAAAAGAACACAAGGGCGTCAATTGTTGCGGTTTACGGGCGTCTGTCTGTTGAAGAGCGCCCGCACCATGTATCGATCGTTGCTAATCCACTTAATTCACTTGTTACTTCCAGCAGCGGCTCTCAAAGTGAAAAATCCATACTCTCTGACCCCATACACAAATTGAGGCATCATCAGCCTGCACCTCAATCAGAAGGCAACAGTGACTCCCTTGAGCCCTCTACCCTAAAGTGCAAGGGGGACAACGGCCATCTGGCACCCGCCAACCGAACTGAAAGCCGGCATAACCTTCGGCCAAACAGGCTTAAAAGCTTCTGAGCAGACGAGTCGCGGTATTTGGTTAACCGCGCTCACTTCCCCCATTTCTTCAGGTCATATAAAAACCACGTTAAATTAAACGGCTTACAGGATAGGAACTACCTCCCTCCATCTCATTCGCCTACGCCAGACCCATCGGACCACAGTCCCGTCCATTGTATCGAGCGTGCTCAGTCCCGCACCAGGCCTAGGACTTTTTGGCTTAGAAGTTCGTTCAGTCAGTCCACCAGACCATACTTCTTCCGCTGCCCAAAGCCAGTCCAACGACGCGTCAACCTCAGAATTCTTCAGCTGTGGTGAGCCATCACCGGCACCATGACCGGACATTGCGAAATTCGAGCAGTTTGGTTTAAACACAATCTACAATGCCGTCCCAACACTGGACAATGCTAATGACTGTTTCCAGTGGAATCGGAAAGTCAATGGATTCATTCGAATATCTGCCGTGGTCGATGATGGAGCCACTCCGCCAGCTCTACAGAGTCCTTTCACCTTTTCCACACATGAGTTTGCCGTTTCCCTGTCGTATGGCACCGTCGGGCCTTGGGCCGATTCTTGTAGGCGATGAAGTTCGGCTGAAGTCACCTGATGATGTTCCTTTTCATATGCGACTGCGGTTATTTGAGCGTTACGTCTCTAACTAGTTCCGTGTTGTATCATCCTGGTGTTGATTTAAGGCTACAAGTGCTCGCTCAACTCGAAGCTCGTTACGTGTGAAAGATTGCAAGATGCATTCTCGATCCAGTAACCCAAATTTAGTTGGGTAGGACTTCACCGATGTGGTGTGACGTTCTCTTGCTCGTACAGCCTGTGCTTAATCTCATTGATTTATTCATGACTTGCGAGTGCACATTTACATATCCGAGCCAGCAAATTGCCAGCGATTGTCAATGTATACACGGAGATGGAAATGAAGGAAGGCTTCTCTGAAATCTGTCCCCCGTTCGTCTTCTAAAAAGAGTGATATTCTATGCTTGAAAGCCCTGAGGCACCCAGATTGAAAGCGGCTCGCGATCCAAGGTCCATATAGTTCCTTACCGCAGGCACCTTTTAAGGTCCCCGGTTCTTTCACCTGAAATCAGCGGTGGCCGGTATACTATTCAGGAATTGGTGGGCGCAGTACGTTTCGAGGACGTAATGATCGAAGGCGCTTGCACGTGCCATCTCAAATTCCGCAGAGTATGATTACTTGCGGTATGTGTTGAACATGCTGTGCATACGGGCGCGCTGGCCAGGAGTGAATTCAGTCTTGCAGTAACTATAAATTATTAGCACCTTGAACCCCCAGTAACAAACATGCAGATTGTACGCGAAATATAGCGACACAGGAGTCTCAGCAGGAGAACAGAGCACATACTCATTGGTGGCATCCATATAATTGTGGATTGGGTCAGGGCCATCTCCAGGGCAGGAATCACGTCCAATGGGGCAGCCGGTGCTGGGGAAATATTGGGGTGGAGTGTCATCAACCATATCTCCCGGCCCAGAGCAACTGCCGCCAACAAAAGTGTGAGAAAGGCCTGGTCAGGCAAAGGGAGGTCAGTTAGTAATGTATATAAACAAGGTGAACTTAGGATGATTTCTGAACAATGCACTCACCCATCCAGTGGCCAACTTCATGGACAGTCACCTTTCCAAGGTTGAAATCTTTGTGGGTTCCACCTGGAACCGTTGAACTCAGGACCAAACATCCATCAAAGATGAAGATTCCAGAGCCTGGGGCTTTGCCATTTTCATCTGGGTGGTAGCAGAGCTAGAACACATGTCAAGTTAGACCCAAGTCCCATATAAGATCCATATATTTGATCAGAAACATACGCCAGCAGAACCACCAAGATCCTTCATAAAGTAAACATTGAGTGTATCATAGCCACCTTTCCGCAGGGCAGACTTCATGTGAAATTGGTTGCGAGCAGAAGTAGCCCAATCTCGGTTGATTGTTCTGGTGATCCCCTTCAGGGTGAAGTTGATTCCATACTGGGTGTAAGTCTCTTTCAACACTCTGAACTGATCCTGCATCTTGCTTTCCTAGTTGCAATCTGTTAGATGACTTTGACAATAGATGGATCTCAGCAGCTGAGCTCTTACTGGAATGTTGCCATCACTCTCAGATTGGCCAGCAGCAACAACATGAAAGTAAACATCAGCTTGGATACCCGCTGCACTCTCAACAAGTGAACCGGTGGCTTCTCTTGCAGCCATTTCGGCAGCCATCCTGCGAAACTTGGGTGGCGTAACAGTACCACATGCTCTATTAGGCTCAGGGCTTGCAGTGGCCACGGAGGCCAAGCCAAGAACTAAGAGAGTCGACAAGACCTTCATGGCTTTCAACAAGAGCAGAAACAAGAGAGGACACGTTGGAATTATTACACAGACAAACTGGTGGGCTTGAGGACATTGTCTCTCTTATACTACATTTTCTGACCTGGAGGCCAGAAAATGCTATGGATATCATCAGAAGCCAGCTTAACCATATTTAATGCCTGCCAAAAGGTTACACTCAAGTTGATGGATGACATGATTGTTTCCCGCGGAGGGTACTCCGTACGTTTTCCGCAGCATCGCATATTGGGAATGGCAGGGGAATCGGTGCACTTGGTGTGGATAAGTGCGGCAGGGTCTGGAAGACGTCCACAAAGATAGCCGACATAGCTGGGCATACAACTGTATCATTTTAAACATAGATATGCAGACTGGTCAGTTTCATATATCATCATCTGTGTCATCCAAAGCAATGATAGGCGCTATCATCTACACCCTCGTGACCCTACCCGTCCTTCCCGGGTTGTTTGTAATAGCGGTAGTTCTATAAGCTTAGTAACAAACCGGAAGAATACGAACGATCACGATTCGTCGAATAGCGTACACCAAAGTTGTGAATGAGAAACTTCCAACGAGTCGAAAGGTCCCCATCATGGTGGTAAGTGACATTGTTACGGCCGGGCTACAAAAGCGGAGTCTTCCAGCATGAGAGATGCAGGGAGGAGCTGAAGATATCTCTCTTTTATTGACGGCCAGCTTGGCAATGTGTTTGGGTTGATAAGGTTGAGATGGAAATTTCGGGCCGATTATGTCAGTCCCACTTGCCAAAGCCTCAGCCCAGTAGGAGTTAACTAGGTTTGGCAGGTGCCGAACCAGGAAGTGACCTTCTAGAAGTAATGGACCAACCATGAATCGTGCATGACGTAATATGCAGCTAACTATATACGGTGCTGACTGATTGTGGATCATGTGACCTTGGGGCAGCCGGATTACATAACCCCCATGCGGCAGGGCTCCAAGCACTATATGATATATCTCACTTTCTTTCCTAGTTGATTCTTTTCTTTCCTTTCCTTTCTTCGTTCAAAAAAAAAAAAACCTTTTCCTTCTTTGGTTCAGGCCGGGGTTGGATCGATACTGCGTTTGTCTTATATATAGGGTGGATGCCGTTGCTCTCCCGGGCGCCCCTCAGGTCACCGAACATTTGTCGAATTTGCTAATGGATCAATCGAATGTCTCCCACTGCTAGGAGGGTCTGATAACAGTGGACTCGTCCTCGTTATCTCTTGCTCGTGCGAAGCACTAGGGGCTCATAACCTAATGGATCAATCGTGCATGACATTGTATGTAGCTAACTATATACGAAGAAGCTCTACGCAGTTATTACCTAATGAGATGGAGTCTAATAAGCCATATCGCCAGACAACTTCTGCTCTGGGGACAACACTTCTGTATTGTCTGGACTGGGAAGAGCAGGAACATCTCACTTTACATGTCATGACGGGCGACACAACTGGATGGAGTGGGGATGTTGGTGCACAGCAACTGTTTAATACAATCAGCCATGCTATACTTTCCGCTCATCAAGAGACCCATTTCACTTATGAGAATGTCGATGAGTCTGTTGGCCCATTAGTACTCACTTCTCTCGATCAAACCCCAGCAATCGAAGCCGCTTGCCCACGGTATTGTCTTCAGAAATTCCCAGTGTTCCAAGACCAGCTAATCAACTAACAATGTTTCGAATGCCTTGACTAGTTTGAGCTACAACTCCGCTACCAAGACTTTCGATGTTTATGTTATGCCCACATTCACCCATAACTGCCACCAAGCGTGGCTTAACGAGGAAGTGCCACAAATGAGTGATTCCCGTTTTAAAACTCCGGCGGAACGATCACTGCTGAATCGTTCGACTGGAACTAGTACGCACCCTATCCTATGCAGCCATTCTTTGATGGTCTCCAATTAAAGCTTTAAAGCCTTTCGAGGGTTTCAAGGTCAATACGCTGCGTCGCAGAAGCAGCCAGATATGTCTATTGTTCCTGTTGGCCAGGACCTCCCGTCTGTCGCCATCGAATCAGGGTGGTCAGAAAAATTTGCCAAACTCCACCGAGACAAGCGCCTTTGGCTGGTTGGAGGCGCTGGACAAGTCCAACTAGTACTACTTGTCAAATGGACGAAGATGCCGGGCAATCGCGTCAAGGGAGTCATAGAATCCTGGGATTTGGATCCCGCTGGGAATGAACGGCTCCTCCAAGAAGAAGTGAGCAGATTCTATTATTATTGACATGAAGGACTGACAAGCCTTAGATAATCTACCCAAGATCCCAGGCAGGAAGTGTAAACCAGGTCATACGTATCGCACGTGGACAGCTATTTGGAACTAGGCTTCCCGCAGGACAGGACCCTAACGATAACTATGGACTTTTTGTGTCAAATCTACGCAATATATCCAGTTTTTCGTTGCAATTTGATGGGTTCAGTCCAGCTTAAGAATGAATTCTAATGAAGCCCAATAGTCGATTGTTGCAGGCCCTTGACATAATACTTTAGGTTCTAACCATGGTAATGACACAATGAAACTACAACAAAGGGTTTGAGCCCTGTGAGACGGAATTGTTGTGACCTTGGTGGACGAAAATCGTGAACAGCTCGAGGAAGGCTTATTCATGCAGCTATTCTGATAAAACCATAATTATTTGGTCTTTGACCACACCACATACCATCTGAGACAAATGGCCCTATGCTAAAATGCTCAAGTATCAATGAGAGTAATGATGAATTTGTTGTCAAGATATTAGAGCTGTCCTTTTGAAATAAATGCAACTGAACTTGAAGATTCGTTCGGTGAGCTTGTTATTTTGATACATGTCAATACACATCTCAACCCGAACTCAGACTGTAATTTTTATAATCCCGGTAATCGACTTTCAGGCGGTCTAGAACGCTCTTGAGCAGCCAAACCGCCTAAAACGAGGGCCCAGTCCGCCTCGTCGACGTTATCACTTCCTTCTTCTGCTTCTCATGATCTGTTTCCTGGGCTTCGTCCTTGGGTGATTCCAGGGTTTTCATCCGACTGCTTCATCTCTCCTTTCGGACGTCTGTTGACTACTGCTAGCCTTTCCTCTCTCTGCTTTCCCCTGAGCGCTTACAACCTCAATGACGGAATCCAAGTCCCGCCCTCCAAGTATCTTGCTGGAGCCTCCTCCAAAAGGCGTGGAATTAGAAGACCCTGGAGCGCATGAATCGGGTAAGGCTTTTATGCATTGATTTCAGTAACGCTTCACGGTAGCTTACCCTCTGTTTCCTTAGCTGCGGAAAGCGATGATGAACATTTCTCCGATGCTTCTGAAGGCCGAAACCATAGTGGCGCTGGATCTCCCCGAATTCAGATCCCTTCACCTCGGGAAGGAGAAAGTGATCATCTAAACGTTCCTCTTAGCCCTGGTGGCTCTCCCATTCCACGCACAGTCGTCGAGAAAGTTGACCTTGAGGACGCTAGCTACGGCGAAGAACCCGGCACACCTGCGTACGAGGCACGCAAAATGGATGCCGTTCCGGATCTCGTCTACAAAGTAGGGGAATGGCACCCCGAATTTCCCGAGAGCACTTCATTGAACCCGTCGGGGAGCCCTACTCCGATCTCCCCTCCCGGGACCATGCTGTCCCGTGTGGATTCTCTGCCAGAAAGGACAACTTCGCCATTGTCATTCACCGCGCATAAACGGAGCCCCAGCGATGCCCAACCTGATGTAGTGGTGGATGTCTCAGATCCCAAGGGTAAGCCGTTCCGTTCATCATCAGTTATCAAACTTCAGAAGGACGATTGACGAAACCAGGCTCCCCCAGCTTGTCCGGGTATAGCGCCTCGCCTCAAGAACTAGACCAGAACGTCGATCCGACTAATGACCCCGAGAATAACATTGCTGGTGATGGAAATGCGCCATCCTTTGGAGATGACTTTGACGATTTCGAGGAAGGAAATGAAAGTGCAGAACAGGATGATTTTGGTGACTTCGATAACGAGTTTCAGGTGGCATCTACAGATACTGTTGTAGACTCTGGTCAGGGCCACAACAGGTATATATCAATGGAAGAGCCTTTTCCGACGTCAGCTGTGAGTAGTCTGAGACACCTGTAATTCATATCATTGCGCTGCCCACCATCAGCTTTTCATTAGTGGAACCTACGCTGATATGTTTATGCAGTCTGCCCCCTTAGACTTCGGCTCTTTCGACTCCTTATCAACGTTCCTCGATGCTACATCCGATCATCTTGATATGCTTTTCCCTAAATCCACTAATCTCCCTTCAGCTCATCCTATCGACCGCATTCCCGACTCTTCTGCAATATTTAATACTGAGCGCTCCTTATCTCTATGGTCACAACTCGTCGCGCCACCACCACTCCAACCCCCAAACTGGACAAAATCTCGTATCCGCCGCCTGTTCCTCGTCTCCCTCGGAGTCCCAGTCGACCTTGACGAAATCCTACCAGCTTCTAAACAAAAAAAACTAGTCCTACCTTCGATAACAACCCACGATGCCTCTGGCCAATCACGCAGCCGCCCCAAAAAGTCGCAAGAAGGCAGCGACCAGACTGCCCGTTCGTCCACATCCACAGACGCCGCGCGCTCACGGTCGCGCAACCTTCCTTCGCGCCGTCGCAGACAACAGGCGCCACCAGAGTTGGATCTATCTGCTGTCCGGCGACTGTGCGCCACAACCGATGCCGCTCTGGATGGGCTTACAGACGAAGAGATGCAACATCACTTGAAGACCCTAGAAGAAATGACGGTTCGTGCCAGTGAAGTGTTGGAATATTGGTTGAAGAAGAGAGATGGCCAGGTTGGCGAAAAGGAGGCGTATAACGGGGTCATTGAGAATTTAGTGAAGCACGCAAGACAGGTACGAAGCTGATATGGCACCGGGTAAAATGCCGAAAAATCGTACGGAGTATTCCTTTCTCTTCTTTTTCTTTTTTTGAATGGTTCGGGCCACTCCATCAATTATCTCGGCGCTTATGTACTGTACAAAATCGGCGATGTCGAACCGCGGGAGAAGGAAAAGCTGGTTTCTTCCTTTCCACCCTTTCTAGTTACATTCGACCTTTTGATATGTATTTCATTTTAATCTATAGAATTCAAATTATATTCCAATCACAACATCTCCATCTACATTCTATTAATTATTGAGCCGCTCCTTTGCGACGGAGTTTACACTTTCTACTGCAGCTTTTCTTTGCCTAGAACTATGACCAGGAACGTGCGCCGGATGCCAGCACTAGATAACAAACGGTAGGCTCTCCAGTGAATATTCAAACCTCTTAAACAGTATGAACATGCTGAAATGATAAGGGATCTGAGAGGCGGAATACAAAACACATCCCAAAGTTCAAACCCATCAAGTTCGTGAAGTTATGTCTATCAAATATATCCAATAATCAAACACCAATATTCTATGTATATGATGACCCTCATTGTTGGGGAGAAGAAAATTGAGCACAAAAAAAGGAAAGAAAATGATTGTGGGACTAAGGATGATGAGCATGCAAATGATCAAAGAACCTTCATGAAGGAGTAACATCTAACGAAAATGAACTGAAAAAGTAATTCAGGGTTCCAGGGGTATCATTATATACTGAAAAATGTGTGGGGGGAAATATTGATTTAGTCAATTTCAATAACTTCTTGTGCGACGCCTTTTGTTGATGTTTGGGGAACCTTGGGACTTTGAACCTCACATTTTCTGATTTCTTCTGCTTGCAGCACCTTGCCTTGCTGATTTGTTGTTGCAGCCTGCTCAATCTTTGGAATCCAACTGCCATCTTTCAGCACCAAAATGGCCCTTACTTCATTTAACTTGTTTTGACGAGCTAATTGTGCGCGTATGTCAAGTAGGAATTCATCAATGACCAATGATGATGGCCGTGCATCTTTCCGACATATTGGGCATTTCCAATTCTCCACCATTCCGTGTCCATTTGATATCACTGTCATACGAGTGCTGAGGAAGGTATCCAGGTCAAAGCATTCCCAGTGGGAACAAAATTTCCCTCGAGTTGGAATGTCGAAAATACGCGCCATGAACGGATCAATTAAATTTATAGCAATGTAGTCACCAAGAATCGCAATTTCGTCGTCGACGCCCACTGGGTTTTCAATTGTTTTGATAATTCGATCGATAGAAGTAGTCTTTGATAGAGATTTAATGGATTTCCGCACAGTAGCACAATCCATTGATTCGAGTGTCTCAATGGCTACAGCATAAAACTCCTGGTTGCGTTCATCTGCTTTTCGTAAACATGTTAATGTGATTTTGTTGTCACCTTGCCTCAGAGACGATGTGATGTGGAGGGGCAAATCCCTGCCGTTGTGAAACTTGCGACAAACAAAATGTTCTGTGTCGTTGACATGGATATATATCGCATCAGGCCAAGAGCAGTCCATTGTTGTCCATTTTGCATCAGACAAATCTTCCATGGCCGAGTTTAATTTGACACACTTTAGTTGATATGTTCGGGTTCCTGAGGTGTGGCCTTGTATGGGGTAACCGTGTTCAGCAGGTAATTCAGCCGGAAATATCTTGAATTCGTCGGGGGATATGGTCAATGAGCAGGAAAAGTTTATTTGCTGTTTACCAAGGTAGAAAGGGGATACGGCAAAAGAATGGGGGTAAATCAGGAGCCGTTTCGAAGGATCATTGCTATCATCGATAAGTTCCCGAACTCCAACTCTCAAGGGCATCTGGTGCAACCCGACTAAGATGGGATTTGGGCGTGCCAATTCTGGAATGATAGCCCCGGAATGTGGGAGCAGAAGCGTGTCTGATCCACGTCGGCCGGGAGAAAACGAGGGGGAAGACAAGGCTATTTGTTGTTGATGGTGAGTTTGAGCTGGAATAGGTATATTAGCGGGCCGTGCTACCCGGGAGTTCGACGGCACTACAAAATGGGAGGGAATTAAAGCCGAAGCATATGGTAGGGATTGTAGTGGCGGCCGTGATGTTGTCCTTGCGATGCGCTGAGGGATGGCAGTAGGTGTATTTTGACGTCCACCTGGATGTCCATGATGGCTTGTAACCGGGGATTGATAATGCGGATGCAGTTGAGTTCCCGCTCCATGACTGGGCTGGGGCTCTCCGTTGACAGGATACTGAGATCGATACTGACTTGGATTCACATGTTGGGTTGTAATGTGAGGCAAAGCTTGGCATACATGCTGGGGCACTAGTCCGGGGAATTGTTGAAAAGTATTGTTAGGCGAGTACTGCGGTCGGATCGTGTTTTGTCCATAGTTCATGGGAAGAGGTTGGGCTTGCCGGGCTTGTCGTGCTAGTAATTCCAGCGAGGCTGGGTACTGGGAAGCTTGAGGAGGAGGGATAAACTGAGGGGATAAATGGGATGTTGGTGTAAATTGGCGTTGAATAGGGGAAGCTGTGTTTTGGAGACCGACAACTGAACTGGCTGGAGAAGCTGGTACAATTTGAGCAGGCTGAGAACTTGCGACATCCGTTCTAATCGGACTCACAAGAAGCGAGGATGCTGATATATATTCTTTAATGATAAACGTATTTTCTTGCCAGGCTTGTTCTGGAGGAACCGGATTCCCTGCCAGAGTGGAAGCAAGCCGTGCATCATACAAAGCTCGATCTTGCGAATTGATGCTGTTGAGCCGGCGTAACCATTCAGTATGACGGAGGGGAGATATAAGTTCGCAACATCTAAGAAACAATGCTAGCTGAATGAGAGGCGAGGGCACCCCAAATTTGCACACAAGCTCGTCGATAAGCGGGGGGTATCGGCGCCGAACTGTAGTAGCGACGAAGTCTGACCATCCATTTCCTAATAAAGGGAGATACTGATTGATTGATTCGATCGTTTGCATATATGATTGGTTATTTCTAACTAACCCTGGGAGGCCGGCAGGAAACTCGCAGCAGGACCTCAAAAAGTTGGTCGAGTATCGATTGGCTGGGAACAGAGAGTCTTTGATAGCTACTAGGCCGGCTTTTTGTTCCGACTGGAATCCGAGAACAATCGCAAGTGATTCCGCATCAACCATCTGGATGCAAAAGATTTGGTGAAGTGCAAGAAAGAAAATGTCCTGTGTCATGACAGCGTTTTGCAACGATTCCACGCGAGCGCGCTCTGGTGGTGTGGCTTGAGACTTCAAAAATGCCAAGTTGCGATACAGACTCTGAGCAACATGGCCTATTGAGGAGAAACATGGGTCGATTTGCACGGGAAAAGCTGAGCCGCTATTAAATAACCTGTCGTGACTTTGCGACTGATTTGCAGGGCCCGAAGCGTTTTGTGGAGTAGCTGTTATTGGGGTTGGCCGAGTGACTTCTTCAGTCCGGATACGTTTATGCCTGTGACCCGCAAAGCCCTGAGGTGAACTCTGCGTTGTCTCTGTATGGTGTGTCGGGCCGATTGTCTGATTGGTAACGGGTACATTTTGGCCATCTGCATCGATATTACGGGGTGCGGATTGAGGATTGGGGGGAACCGCCCCCCGCCACCGATATGTGCCATTGTTGTCGATGCAAGAGACAGGTCTCT